CACCACCGCCACCAACCGCCCCCGTATCCCTCACCTCGCCGCCGGCCCCCACCATCTCTTCCCCGCCCTTCCACTCCCTCGCGTCGCAGCAACAGTTCCACTCCCTCGCCATGGGTAAATTGATCATCGAATTACTGCTGCTTCGTCTCCTGATCTGAGTGATGATTGTTTTTTGCTGATCAATTTTGCTCTTTCTGCATGGTCTGGAGGATCGGGAGGCTCGTCGCCAGGGTCGCCCTCCAGAGCGATGATGTCGAACTCGTCGCCGTCAACGACCTTTTCATCACCACCGAGTACATGGTATGCCCCTCGATCTGCGGTTTTCACCCGCTCCGATAGCCAGATCTGGTGGTCTGAAAGGTTTTAGAGTGGTTTTACCTGTGATTTATTCTGTTAGCATACCTGATGCTTGTGTTGTTCTGCCAACGTTTTATGAGGTATAAGAATTCGCCTGATTTTGGAGTGGTCTCTAACTTGTTAAGAGTTCAGGCCTGATTTTGCTAGTAGTATTAGCCGGCTTGGAATTGATGGTGTTAGATAGCACTCCAGTGTTACCTGACTTCGAAATAGGTAGATGGCAGCTTGGATTGGTTTCGTCCTTGGCTGCTGGACGAACTGAGATGTTCTGCAGCCAGCTGCATTTGGTGGTGCAGTGCACACACTGAAGATATTGAATTCAATGCTTGTTAACTGAATATAGCCTCTTGTTCTGCAACCTGCCTGACTAACTCACACTGTTAGGATTGACAGGGCTGGCGTGGAGTTCCCGGGCTTACAAAAATAGAGTTCAGTGGTGTTTCAGTAGTAAAAGCTAGGACTCTAAATTTCAAATTTCCAAAGTACATCGGTAGGAACTTGGGTTATGTATGTTCAGATAGCTATTATGCAAATGTGCACCCTTATTTCAAGTATTTCCGGACGTAGGGAGTGGGTGCTGGCGGCGCCTCATCCCAGCTGATGCAACTCTCTTTTTGAGTTGCTCGACTCGTATATATCGACTAGTCCATCCACGGCTCGACTCGTAACTTCTATTTCTAGCGGCCTGTATATGTATGGTCCTGATTAATGTCACTCCAATTAAGGAAGCCTTATAGTACATATGTTTGCACTGAACAAGTGTATTTATGGTTCAGAATGGAAAACAATCAAACAAGTTATTGTTTTCCTCCTTAGCATGCATCTAGTCTTTGGGGAATATTTGTTCTGAAGTCATTACTGCACTATATTTAGCTATGCCATCCCAATGCTTGAGTCCTGATAACATCCAAGAACAGTATCTAGGATTGGCTTGCATTTATGCTTCTTAAAATGGAAAACTGTGCTACTTAACTTTTTACCTGATGTGACTAGCTTCCTACTTATCAGTTTTTGCCTTGTTAATAACTAGAAAACCTTTATGCTAGTATATAGTAGGATTATTAATTGGCTCTTGTTAGTTGGTATTGTTGTTGTACAAGCGGGGCCCTCTCTCCTAGAGATATAATTCTGGGTGCAGGTTCATCATAGTTTTAGTGCAAATATTTGCATCAGATGGATGCATGGAGTGTTCCTTTCTTCCTTATAAAGCTAGCCTACTATATTGAAATTGACACACTTTTGCATGCATGATGATGCAAATTGTAGGAACGCCGAGGCTGCTGGCGGATGCTTCTTCAGGGGCAAAGAAGAAATCTTCAAGAAGAAGGTGCCCGAAGCTGATGCCGCGGCAAGTGACTGATGTTTACATGTTGGGTCACGACGAAAATCATTTGTTGTTGCAGAAAGTTATAGGTAAGCAGCCAACTTGTTTGTGCCATCCACTTTATAGCTGGACTGTCCGTTTAATTTATAAATGGTTACCTGTTGTTGCTGCTATAGGAACAACATTCCTGATGGCAACGGGTACGTGATGAAGTTCATAAACGTATGATAAGAACTGAGAACTCAGAGAACTTCAAGGACAAGATCAACGAGGTGACCGGTGTTATGGCGGCTGTGTATGGTGGTGACCCCAGCCGCAGGACTCCCCAGGCCATCTGCATCTGCCCTACCAGGGAGATTGCGTAGCAGGTCCCTCTCTCATCTCATCTAGTTACTGAATACTCCTATGACTGCTATTTTTCACCTGTAATCTGATTATTAATGTACCCAAATGTTAATTGGACCTCCTATCTAGTATAGGACAAGTCAGTGAATGCTAGTATGTGTTTTACTAAATTCATCAGATAGTTAACTCACTGTGACATGTCCACTCTTGTTTTGTTAATTCATCAGATAGCAGGAAATTTTGCCCTGCTTTGTTGAACTGTTTCTGACCATGTTTGCCTGCATTGCGTGTTCTGTGCAGGTGTTGATGCAGGCAGATATGTTCCTGACCAACCTGACCAGCATGTGCAAGAGGAGCACGGAGAAGGGCTCTATGTGGGTCACCATGAAGCGATGTGAGAGACCCCCTACCCTTACAGCTGGTTCATGTGGTGTGGGTTGTAGATTTGATGGGTTCAACAACTCTGATGTGACGAGTTGTTCGATGTGCGCAGTGTTGAGGAAGTGTCAGGCTAGGTTGAAGAAGATGGCGAGTAAGGGGGAGCCTGTTGAGTACCGGTGCCTGGTCTGCACCACCGATGGCAAGAGGAACATCTCCACCTCGGTATTATTCACTTTCTCTCTGCTGCTGGTTCGGCATTATGTCTGCTGGATGTGTTTTGCCTTAATTCTGTGCCTGATGGTAATCAGGTTGCCGTTATTTAGCCCCCTTGTGTGCTATGATTTGAATTATAGATCAAACATTTGCATATTTCCTTCGTGTATCTGCTGTATGAACTGAAACAACTCCAGTTTGCACACGTGCTAAATAGAATTTTTGTTGGTTGTTACTTCCAATTGAGCACTATTTGTTGGTGTTGAGAAATCGATAGGTAGGTTGGTAAATATAATGGAAGAACTTATATTAGATTTTCGTTGGTTTCAGAATGTATGTTTCATGGTCTTTTCTGATAATGGAAGAACTTATATTAATCTGCTGGTTGTTGGTTTCTATGTACTCCCTCCTTAATTCAAAGCCGAGACACTTATTTTTGATCAGAGGGAGTACATGCTTGTAATAGCCTTGAACTAGTAAGAACATTTTAGTCACTCCATGCTAGTTAGTGTTAGTCACTCCATGAACACATACTGGTTAGTGTTAGTCATACTATTTATGTACATCTCATTTGCTGTCAATTCTTGCTTATAAGTTATTGGATCCCTCATTGGCTACTCTTTGATGTTCTGTACAAATTCTTATTCTTATATGTTCATTCTTGTTTTTTGCACAGGTGAAGTGCAAATCCAAGTTCGAAGCTGTGAAGCATATCGACAAAGACTAGCATATTATGTGTTGTAAATGTAGGCAGTAGTAGGCTTATCTGGGCTGTAGTATACTATAATGTTTGTAATAGACTAATGCCGTGTTGTTTTGGACGAATTTCATTTGCTATTTGCATTGTTTGAAATAATGATTGTGTATTGAATACCTGTCAAATGGAAACCTAACAAGGGGGTCCAAGTTATAATAGTTGCTTGACAGATTTTGAATTTTTTGATGTGTGGGATCAATTTTGTGATAAGCATGACAAGTGGGACCAATCTGATTGGTGGGACCAGTGGCAAAAAAAGGACGAAAATAAAATATCAATAGACTGTAAAAGGCTGCATCTTAGAAAAAAGGCCGAATTAATGGCCCAAGCCCATGTAGCTAGCAAAAATTAACAAGAAAAAAATATAGTAAAAAGGCCGAATTGTTGGGCTAGGCCCATGTAGAAAATCGAATTGGACCGGGCTGAATCTTGTGCCACATCAGATTGCCACGCTGGATGCCTACGTGGCCTGGGGAGGTTGCTAGTGACCAAAACGCCACGGTAGATGTATTTTGGTCATAAACGTCTTCGACCATTCCAGAAGAAAGGTCGCTATAGTCAGTTTATGACAGCCAGCTTTTGACCTTATGTTTTTGGTCACAAAAAGATCACAAATGGAAATTTGTGACCATTCAGTGACCAATAGTGGTGGTCACAAGTTGACATATTTCTTGTAGTGCCGGACACCCCCTAATCCAGGACTCCCTCACCGAGGTTTGGAGTCCCTAGATATTTAATGACTGATAGTGGTTCACACTTTATTCATGGTGCTTTCCGTAAAATGCTTGCTAAGTATGATGTTAATCATAGAATTGCATCTCCTTATCATCCTCAGTCTAGTGGTCAAGTAGAGTTGAGCAATAGAGAGCTCAAATTAATTTTGCAAAAGACTGTTAATAGGTCTAGAAAGAATTGGTCCAAGAAACTTGATGATGCATTATGGGCTTATAGGACTACATACAAAAATCCTATGGGTATGTCTCCGTATAAAATGGTTTATGGAAAAGCATGTCACTTACCTCTCGAACTAGAACATAAGGCGTATTGGGCTATTAAAGAGCTCAACTATGATTTTAAACTTGCCAGTGAGAAGAGGTTATTTGATATTAGCTCACTTGATGAATGGAGAACCCAAGCTTATGAAAATGCCAAGTTGTTTAAAGAAAACGTTAAAAGATGGCATGACAAAAGGATACAAAAGCGTGAGTTTATTGTAGGTGATTATGTATTGCTATACAACTCTCGTTTAAGATTTTTTGCAGGAAAACTTCTCTCTAAATGGGAAGGCCCCTATGTTATCGAAGAGGTCTATCGTTCCGGTGCCATAAAAACCAACAACTTCGAGGGCACAAATCCGAAGGTGGTAAACGGTCAAAGAATTAAACATTATATCTCAGGTAATCCCATAAATGTTGAAACCAATATTATTGAAACCATAACCCTGGAGGAATAGATAAGGGACAATTTCCGGAACGTTTCAGACCCCGAAAAGGAATAGGTATGTGGTACGGTAAGTAAACCGACTCCAAAACAATTTTTAAGGCAATATTTCTCCGTTTTGGAATATTTAGAAAATATAGAAAAATAAGTAGCACTCCGGGAAGGACACGAGGGCCCCACGAGGGTGGTGGGCGCGCCCCCTACCTCGCGAGCACCTCGTGTGCCTTCCGGACTCCGTTTTCTTGCACGTTACATATTTTGGTCGGTAAAAATTCATTATATAACCTCCCGAAGGTTTTGACTCCCGTATCACGCAAATCTCCTCTGTTCTTGTTTCGAGCTATTTTTCTGACAGATCTAGGTTATCATGACGGCCCCAAGCGCCTCCAAGGACAAGTTCTTCGAGAAGGTCATCAACCCTTACCTCGCGGAGGTGCTGCGACACCCTCAAACCATTGAGTTGCGTGATGGGTTGCTGCACATCCGCGATGAAGAGGGACCAAAGGGGACCGGAAGCATGGAGACGAGGCTCGAAGCAGTGGAGCAACAAGTTTTCAAGTGCCAAGGGATGGTGGAACATGGACTCAACTCTAACCACATGATGATCGCGGAGTTCACTAGCAACCACAAGTTGGATGCTGACTACATCAGGGAGACTATCTTCAAGCTTCATGAGAAGATCGAGCACCTCCAAGCCCAAATCTATGACCTGCAAAACCAAAACTGTGAGTATGAATATATATTCAAAAGGATGAGTTTGGCTGCAGATTTGAGAATCCTAGAGACTCGATCATCTTTCTATGATGGAGAACCTATGCCTTGGAAGATGGACGCAAGGCCCGCATCATCTACAACACTTCCACCTTCTTCACCAACAAAGAAGGAGATATAATCACATGGGTATGGGCACTCCTCTTGGCAACTGCCAAGCTTGGGGGAGGTGCCCCGGTATCGTATCACCATCACAACTCCTATCTTTACCGTTTTTTTCTTAGTTCGAGCCTAATAGTAGTATCTTGATCTAGTAGAATAAAATTTATGGCATGATCTAGTTTTGAGTTTTGCTTTATGATCTCTCTTTGTAATCGAGTCTGTGAGATATATATAATAAAGATTAGTGTTGAGTCAAGGGCTTGATTATTTTGCCATGATCTCGGGTGAATAAAAGAAAAGAGAAAAAGAATAAAAAGAAACAAAGAGTTCATATTGATCTTATTGAGAGTAATGACTTCACATAGAAAGAGTATGATGATTAAAAGTTGTTGGGAGTTGGGAGACATAGCTTTGGTCATTGTTGCAATTAATAGGAAGTAATAAGGAAAGAGAGGTTCTCACATATAAATATATTATCATTGACATCTTTTATGATTGGGAGCACTCATTAAAATATGACATGCTAAAGAGTTGATGTTGGACAAAGAAGACAACGTAATGAGTTATGTCTTTCTTATATCTAAGATAAAGTATGTTGTCATGGATCCTCTAACTTGTTGAGCTTGCCTTTCCCCCTCATGCTAGCCAAACTCTCAGCACCAAGTAGAAATACTACTTGTGCTTCCAAATACCCTTAAACCAGTTTTGCCATGAGAGTCCACCATATCTATCTATAAATTGAGTAAGATCCTTCAAGTAAGTTGTCATCGGTGCAAAGCAATAAAAATTGCTCTAAATATGTATGATTGATTGGTGTGGGAGAAATAAGCTTTATACGATCTTGTGATGTGGAAGTAATAAAAGCTAATAAAGGTTCATATCACAAGGGGCAACGTAAAGTGACGTTCTTTCGCATTGAGATTTTATGCATCCAACCATAAAAGCGCATGGCAACCTCTGCTTCCCTCTGCGAAGGGCCTATCTTTTATTATTATCTTCTACCTTATGCAAGAGTCACGGTGATCTTCAACTTTCCCTTTTCATTTTATCCTTTGGCAAGCTCAACATGTTGGAAAGAACATGATATATATATATATATAATTGGATGTAGGGGAGCATGAACCATTATTGTTGACATTACCCTTGAGGTAAAAGGTTGTGGGGCAAAACCATAAGCCCCTATATTTCTCTGTGTCCGATTAAAACTCTGTAAACACAAGTATTGCGTGAGTGTTAGCAATTATGGAGGACTAAATGATAGTTGAGTATGTGGACTTGCTTTTTAGCTCTGACATAGACTCTTTCCGATGTTATGATAAATTGCAATTGCTTCAATGACTGAGATTATAGTTTGTTGGAGCCCAATAAGGTTTATGATTTATACTTTTGCATTGTGAATAGATCATTCCTTGAACATAAGTAATCATATGACAAAATCTATATATGTTGTTGTTATGAGAATAATCATGATGCCTTCATGTCCGTATTTTTATTTTTTATCGACGCCTCTACCTCTAAACATGAGGACATATTTATTGTTATCGGCTTTTCGCTTGAGGACAAGCGAGGTCTAAGCTTGGGGGAGTTGATACGTCCATTTTGCATCATGCTTTTATATCGATATTTATTGCATTATGGACTGTTATTTCACTTTATGTCACAATAATTATGGCTATTCTCTCTTATTTTACAAGGTTTACATAAGGAGGGAGAATGCCGGCAGCTGGAATTCTGGGCTGGAAAAGGAGCAAATATTAGAGACCTATTCTGCGCAACTCCAAAAGTCCTGAAACTCCACGGAACATCTTAAAATAAATAGATAAAAATCCTCGCCAAAGATGAAGGCCAGGGGGCCCACACACTGCTCACGAGGGTGGGGGCGCCCCCCCTAGGGCGCGCCCCCTACCTCGTGGGCCCCCTGGTGGCTCTCCGACGTCCATCTTCTGCTATATGAAGTCTTTTGATGAGAAAAAAATCAGAGGGAACCTTTCGGGACGAGACTCTACCGCCACGCGGCGGAACCTTGGCGGAACCAATCTA